CAAGTCAAGAGATGTTCCAAAAACTGTAAATATTACCTTTTTGCACCTGGCCTAATCACTCTTTCCATATCAAAATCAGTTAAAATACAATATCCAAAAATTTATTTTAGCTCTCTTCTTTCATTTCCACCCAATAAAAACTAAGAAATGAATGAGAAAGGGAAAGAAAAAATACACTTTAAACAAGGAATTGTTTGAATCTGGAATAATTTTTAATTCTGGAAAATTGATGAGAAATTTATGATGAAAACTAACCCAACTAAATAGGGTTAGCCATGTGCGCATGGCTAAGGGGGGTTAGTTAGTTCATACTGAAATGATAGTGAAAGTAAAATTAACCTTAGCCATGCGCGCATGGCTAACCCTATTTAGTTGGGTTAGTTTTCATCATACATTTCTAATCAATTTTCCAGAATTCAAAATTATTCCAGATTCAAATAATTCCTTGTTTTTAATTAAAGAGAACTATATTCGTGGACAACGAAAAGCGGGGTCATTAATTGTGGTCTCAGGCCAACTGGGGAATCACTTTAGAATTGGAGTTATCTTCCTTTGTTCATAATTGTAGTTGATTTCTCCAATAGTATTGCCTTCAGATACAATTACAATGCAATGCTCATTTGTCAAATGTATGTAATCTTTACCTTTCAGTGCTTACAAACATTTTAATGATTGCAATTTTTTCCTTTCAGAACAAACATTTTAATGAATGCAATCTTTACCATTCAGTGCATACAAACATTTTAATGAATGCAATCTATATATACCTTTCAGTGCCTACAAACATTCAAATGAATGCAATCTTTACCTTTCAGTACAAACATTTTAATGATTGCTATCTTTACCAATCAGTGCTTACAAACTAATTGTTTGAAACATTTTATTGAATGCAATCTTTACTTTTCAGTGCTTACACACATTTTAATTTCAGTGCACACATACATTTTATGAATGCAATCTTTACCTTTCAGTACAAAACATTTTAATGAATGCAATCTTTACCTTTCAGTGTATACAAACATTCAAATAAATGTAATCTTTACCTTTCAGTGCTTACAATCTTTCTCTTTCAGTACAAACATTTTAATGAATGCAATCATAACAATTCAGTGCATACTAACATTTCAAATGAATGCATTCTTTATCTTTCAGTGCTTACAAACATTGAATGAATACAATCTTTTAAACATTTCAGTGCGTACAAACATTTCAATGAATGCATTCTTTACCTTTCAGTGCTTACAAACATTTTAATGAATGCAATCATAACATTTCAGTGCGTACAAACATTTCAATGAATGCAATCTTTACCTTTCAGTGCTTACAAAAAATTTAATGAATGTAATCCTTACCTTTCAGTGCTTACAAACATTTTAATGAATGCAATCTTTACCTTTCAGTGCTAACAAACATTTTAATGAATGCAATCTTTACCTTTCAGTGCTTACAAATATTTTAATGAATGTAATATTAATCTTTACCTTTCAGTAAAAACATGTTAATAAATGCAATCTTTACCTTTCAGTACAAACATTTTAATGAATACAATTTTTACCTTTCAGTACAAACATTTTAATGAATGCAATCTTTACCTTTCAGTTCTTACAAATATTTTAATGAATGTAATATTAATCTTTACCTTTCAGTAAAAACATTTTAATGGATGCAATCTTTACCTTTCAGTGCATACAAACATTCAGATGAATGCAATCTTTACCTCTCAGTGTCTACAAATGTTTTAATGAATGCAATATTTACCTTTCAGTACAAACATTTTAATAAATGTAATCTTAACCTTTCAGTACAAACATTTAAATGAATGTAATCTTTACCTTTCAGTGCTTACAAACATTTTAATGAATGCAATCTTTACCTCTAAGTGCATACAAACATTTTAATGAATGCAATCTTTAACTTTCAGTACAAACATTTTTAATGACTGCTATCTTTACCTTTCAGTACGTACAAACATTTGAATGACTGCCATCTTTACCTTTTAGTACAAACATTTTAATGAATGCAACTTTACCTTTCAGTACAAACATTTTAATAAATGTAATCTTTACCTTTCAGTACAAACATTTTAATGAATGCAACTTTACCTTTCAGTACAAACTTTTTAATGAATGCAATCTTTACCTTTCAGTACAAACATTTTGATAAATGTAATCTTTACCTTTTAGTACAAACATTTTAATGAATGCAACTTTACCTTTCAGTACAAACTTTTTAATGAATGCAATCTTTACCTTTCAGTACAAACATTTTAATAAATGTAATCTTTACCCAGACCTGCCAACTATCCCGATTTATGGGGGATATCCCCCATGAGAGGGGTTGACCTGAATTTTGAAATTTTTTATTTTATAATCTGAACACCTCAAAACAGGCATTCAAATGAGTTAAAAGGGTATTTAAGCACATACATACTCATTCAAACAATGTAGTAGTAGATTCAAAACACTTATGGCAATTAAAGAGGACCATAAGTTCCTCTTACGCTTAAAATCCCCCATGGAGATTTTGAAAAGTTGGCAGGTATGTTTACCTTTCAGTACAAACATTTTAATGATTGCAATCTTTACCATTCAGTGCATACAAACATTTTAATGAATGCAATCTTTACCTTTTAGTACAAACATTTTTAATGACTGCTATCTTTACCTTTCAGTACGTACAAACATTTTAATGACTGCAATCTCTACCTTTCAGTACAAACATTTTAATTAAAGAATGCAATCTTTACCTTTCAGTGCCTACAAACATTCAATTGAATGCAATCTTTACCTCTTAGTGCATACAAACATTTTAATGAATGTAATCTTTACATTTCAGTGCCTACAAACATTCAATTGAATGCAATCTTTACATTTCAGTGCCTACAAACATTCAATTGAATGCAATCTTTACATTTCAGTGCCTACAAACATTCAATTGAATGCAATCTTTACAGTTCAGTGCCTACAAACATTTTAATGAATGCAATCTTTACATTTCAGTGCCTACAAACATTTTAATGAATGCAATCTTTACATTTCAGTGCCTACAAACATTCAATTGAATGCAATCTTTACATTTCAGTGCCTACAAACATTCAATTGAATGCAATCTTTACATTTCAGTGCCTACAAACATTCAATTGAATGCAATCTTTACATTTCAGTGCCTACAAACATTCAGTTGAATGCAATCTTTACATTTCAATGCATACAAACATTCATCACATCTTCTTATTTATACATATACCTAGATGAGTGACACATGTTCTTTATAGCCTATAGTTATTTTTAGCTGTTATGTATTTGTTAAACTGTTTGCTATTTTCCTTGATATCTTCTTTCCTATTTTCAAAATACTTGGTGTGATTTCGTTATTTTAGTCTTTATTGATTTTCGTAGTTCTAGCCTTTTTTTCCTCAGTTTCCATCCATATAAATATTTCTTCTGTTTCCATTTCGTTTTATGTTTCCACTGTTTAGCAACACTGGTAGTTGACCATATTATTCTGTCATTTTGAATTAAGTACTTTAAGGGATTAATGGGACTTTGACTTTTTGTACCACAATGACAAATTGTAAACCCAACCCCTCTGGCACAATATGATCAAAGGCTCTCATACTTGATAGAAATGTTTGTCATAATATGTAGTTGATCGTTTTATACAATCGTTTCGATTTGTTCATTTGTCCATTTTTGCCGAGTTAAGAGACTTTGACAATATTCTGACTATTGTTCCACAATGACACCTTGTGACACACTATTTTATTCATCATTTACACAGCAGTAGGGGACATTGTGTGAAAGCTTCCAATCTTGTTTAATAATTATTAAAGTTTTATCAATCAGTATTGTGTACTAATGTAATTACTAGAAGAAGTGGTATGATTGCCAAAAAGACAACTATAAATCAGAGACTAAAATTAAACAATCAATCAAGTGAAGTTTACAAACGAAAATTGTTTATTACACAATAGTACTACATGCATTATTCAACATAAAACATTTTTGCAGCATTTATGTTTCTATGATAGTGAAATATGAACATTAAGAAAGTTAAAAACCTGCAGTTTTAAGATGGTCCATTAATTATCTGCAGACAAACACTGAAACCTTCGGCCATTTTTCCAATAAATAATGATATGAATATTATTTTCAATTACATTTCCTTGGTGCTTTAATCAAACCAAACACATCGTGTGCATTCAAATGTGAACAGTAATCGTGTCCTTTATATTTGGTATGAAAAAGACACCCAGCATTCATCAGTACAAAAAGTGCTCACAAAGCACAGGTACATTTCACCTTTTCCATACAATAGTCCAAATATAATTGGACAAAAATTGTTTGCTGAATATCATATGTTATGAACATTATCATGGTAATGTCAATCACTTTGTCTTAAATCCAATTAGCTTTCAGGGGCTTTTTCTCCTTTGTCACCTTGCCAAGACTTTTGACAGGGGCTCTTAGCAGCTCCCAGATCATCTGCCAAGAGTTCTGCTCCTAGTTTGAAACTGCCTAATTTTGCCACTGATCTTGGCTTAAAACTCAAATATAAAAAAAGATACATTCTACCTGTTATGCTTAATGTCACCTTGACATAAATAAATACCCCACATCACCTTTCATTCATATCAATTTTATAACTTGTTTTTGGTAAAGTCTGGTTTTCTTTTACCCAATCCAATCAAATTCTATAACAGTCTTGAACTGAAGCAAAAGCTGTCGCTTTTAATTTCAGGTTCATTGACTTGGAGTTGTGGGACTTTAATGGTAGATGGATGGGTGTATAACATGTATAATGTGCTCAGTCATAGCTGTATATTTTTGTTTGATATTTTATGCAGTTTAAATTTGGAAAATTTTACTTCCATATTTTTACCAATTCTGATCTTGGACTAAAAAACACAAATTAAAAGAATTGAAAAGGAGATATACAATAAAGCAAAAGAAAAAAAACTGATCCTAAACTTTTACACCTTGTATTTTGTGTATTTTCAGATTGATTTGTTATGAAGAGAATGGAGTTTAAAGAAGATTTAAAGATTACAAAATCTATTGAAAATTGTTCCTTGGAAGAAAAATGTTCAATGAAGAACTTGACTTTTGATACTAATCAAAATTGTTGCTACTCTGACTTAATTAAAACAGGACATTTTGGTGAATACAATATTACTTTGAAAAGTAGAGCGATAGATCATAAAAGTCAGGAGGACATCTACAACAACATGAAATACGGTGATGGAGTTAATTATGTTACATTTGAAGCTATCAAAAGAAATATTCATGATTTGATTTGGGCAACCAAAAAACCCAAAGTCGAACCATTTTCCTTTCTTTGGCTGTTTCCATCTAGAAGAACAAGAACGAAATCCACTGATGCAGATATATACTTGGCAGCTGTATTAGGTGTATGTTCTAAACAGCAAAGACAAGAATTGATGAAAGTTAAAAACAAACGTTATTATGATCATGTCCCCCTATCTCTGGCATGTAAGATAAGAAACCTTAATCTCGTCAAATTTTTTGTGGAGCATTGTGATGCTGACGTTAATGGAAATGATGGCGATGGTAAGCCAATGCTTTGGGCAATAGCAAAGCAAGAAGAACACATTGTTCATTACCTACTGAAACATAAGGCTGATCCAGGTAGGAATGTTGCCCCCAATTTCAACTTATTGTTGTTCTCCATGAAGATACGTTCATCATCAGCATGGCCATCATTTGGATATGAAGAAAGCTATGACGAGGATGATGAAAAGGAACATGAATCTGACAATGAGGTCAACGAAGATGATGATGTTATTGATGAGGATGATACTGATGAAGATGAGGATGAGGATGAAAGACGTGATTGCCCAGATGACGAAGGTGAGTGGACTGATGTTGACGATGATGAAAGTGAATATTCGTCAGAGGATGAAGATGACAGTTTAAATGAAGATGAAACAGAGGAAGAAAGTATGAATGGATCTGATGATGAAATTGAATGTCGAATAAGACTTGATTTAACTAAGAAGAATGATGAGAAAATTCCAGTTCCATGTCATCCTAAACTTAAAATTGTTGTGTTGTTGATTGCTTATGGAGCCATAGAGAAATGCTCTGAGAGTCAACTGTTTGATATATTTAGAGCTGTGCTACCAGAAGAGAGTACTAATGTTATAGTAATGAATACTGAGGGACAATTGTATGAAGCTTGTCTACCTATATTGTTAGACAAAGTTCCTAACCTAGCCAATGTCAGGAATGCTGAGGGAATGTCATTATTGGGTTATGAACTTCTACATAAAGATTATAATTATAAGAGATGCCAAATTTCAAGTTACCTTGAGCCATTTTTGGATGAATCTGATGGCACAGAAGTCAACAATGCCAATGTTCTGAAGTATTTTTACATACCTTTGTTAGAGGAACAAGAAGAAACTATAGAAACTAATGTGAATACTGTTCTAAAGTCTTGTAGAATACATCCTACCACAAATAATGTCATATGTAGTAATAATGATTCCAATCATAACAAGTATGTACATCCTCTTATTTTCTTAGCTGCCACTGGGAAGAGCTTATTAGGAACATGTTTGGATATGCCAAAGATTCCTTTCCATGTCAAGTTTGATGCTTTAGAGATAGCTGGTGCCAATTTTGCCAAATGGGGGTATTATACTGATGCTGTAGATTGTTGGAATGCTGCCAACTGTATCAGACAACAGATAGTTACCCTTAAGAATAAGAATTCAGAGAGTATTCAAGAATATGTGTCAAAGTGGGAGAAGGATATTCACATATCAGACGAAATTGCAGAAGAGTTGCTGAATCCTTATGAAGATTATGTTGACATGGATACTATATATATAGACTTTGATGAAGATTCTCGTTCTATTATTCAGTCTGTTGAGGAGAGCTTTAAAATGAAGTTGAACACAGGTACTGTACCAGATATTGTAGTCCATTCACCCACAAAGTCATTTGTATCACATCTCCACAGTTTAAACAGCCGTGAAAGTGGATCAGATAATGTCTCAAGTGACACGGACAGTGAAGATGAAGAGGAACAAATAATTAAAACTCGCATTGCCATTTTGACTAAGAGTATTTTAATTCACGAGAGACTGATAGGTTTTGGATGCCATCAAACTATGAGGGCATTTCATGCTTTAGCTATCGAGTATAAACGGCATGACAAAGTCCAAGAATTTGTTACTGTAATGACATACAGTTTCCCATACCTTGTTAAGTATATTCCACAAGAGGAGTATTATGCAGTAAGCAGCATTACAAAGACATACACACTGACAAAGTTTATTGACTCTTTAACCAATGTACTTCTTACTGAAACGAAAAGAAGACGGTTATCATTTGATCTACTGATGGCTATATTTAAGTGTTTTTTCTTGCACGGTCTAGCCACTCCAAGAAAACAAAGAGATTTCTCACAGTTTGCACCTCTTCTCTTGGCAATCAAATGTCTACATAGATTTGAGAAGACAGATGAAGAAGACAGAAGATTTTCACAATTCTTGAGGAAAGTTCTCAAAGATGACCTAAGGAATAATGTTAGACAGAGTCTACTGCACTATGCCACACCAGTCACAAACAAAGCATCGGAAAAATTAGAGAAAGAAATAATAGGATTATCAGAGTTAGTTGAAATCTTATTAAGTTCAGGAGCAGATCCAAATACTGAGGACAAGTTTGGAATGACACCCCTTCATTTAGCCTACCGTGTCAGGTCCACTGAATTGAATGAGCTAGTGAACAACCATTATGATAACCAGATGAATATCATCCAAGCCCTGTTGGGAGCTGGTGCTCACACTGACTGTATCGATGCTGCTAACAGAACACCCATCTGGTATTCCCAAACGTCATCAAGTCCATTGTGTCCTGTGGGTACACGATCATTGCAGTGCCTAGCTTCTGTTGCGATTGTAAACAACTGTGAACCTTATCAAGGACAGCTGTCATCTCACATGGTGAAATTTGTGGACTTGCACAAGAAAAGGGGCAAATTAACAACGGATATTTTTCTGGTGAATCTTCTGAACAAGTCACAAAAAGGTCCAAAGTTTTTCTTCTGAATAAATCTCAAAAAGCCAAGGTCCAAAGTTTTTCTTCTGAATGTTTTAGCAAGTTTCATGGTTATATGTATATCAGTAGATAAAAAGGTCCAAAGTTTTTCTTTTGAATAGTATACAACTAAATGTTTTAGCAAGTTATATATATATCACTAGATTACTCATTAGATTCGTTGTTCATCTTTTACTTGTTATGTATGTTGCATGATGAAGTTCACTTGTTATATGTGTGGTATGGTTTTAACTTCACATGTTCAAAAGGTCAAATGAACTATCACTTGTCATCTTTCATCTCCAGTATCCTCACTAGCCCAAAATAGAGGGCCCCAAACCCTTTCATGCTCACAACTTTCTCATGTTATCTGACAGCCCTTGCCCCAAAAACTAATGTGCCATTTCCTTGCTTAACATCTGTCGTCATCATTTTTACTCGTAAACTTTAAAATATCTTCAAGACCAATTTAAACTAAGGTTTGTCGCAATCCTATTTTAAGTTTGAAATTTTCTTGATTGGGTGAGGTCCTCTGATCAGTAAACTACTTTCGCCTTAGTTTAACTGTAATTGGTGTAAAGATTGATTTCAAAGGATACATGTTTGTGGGTCATGGTTCATCTGATCTTGACTCATGTTCATGTTTTATTTTTAGCTCACCTGGCCCATATAGGGCCAAGTGAACTTTTCTCATCACTTGGCGTCCGTCGTCGTTAACAGTTACAAAAATCTTCTCCTGTGAAACTACGGGGCCAAATTTAACCAAACTTGGCCACATTCATCTTTGGGGTATTTAGTTTTAAAAAGGTGTCCGATGACACCGCCTGCCAACCAAGATGGCTGACATGTCTAAAAATAAAACATAGGGTAAAATGCAAGTTTTATCTATTATTTTGAAAACCATTATAAAGAGAGAAAATCTGACAGAGCAAAAATGTTCAGAATGTTGAACTCTACCAATTGTCCAAATACGTCAAAACTGTCAAGACAACTTCTTATAGGAGTTCTAGCCCTTAAATGACAAATTTTACTTTTTTTTTCATTTTTGCCTATTATCTTGAAGATTGTGAAAGATAGAGAGAAACTTTGAATTGCAAAGATGATCAACAAGACAATTTCTACAAATTAGTCTACATGGTCGAAATTATCAGTCGATTCCTTATTAGAGTTATTGCCCTTTGATGACGATTTTTACCAATTTTTTTAGTTTTTATACGCCTGTTTACGGGACGTATTATGGTATACCGTTGTCCGTCCGTCGTCAACATGTCGTACATTAACTCAAAAACGCATTACGTTTCCGAGTTGTGGGGTTTTATTCATTAAAAAAAGGGGAATTTTCCAGTTTTCGGACAATAACTCAAGAATGCTTTCACCAACTTGCAAGAAATTATGGTGAATTGTTAATATCTATTGACGTGAGCTCCGTTTTGATTTTTATAAATTTTAGATTTTACGTTTCCGAGTTATGGGGTTTTATTCATTAAAAAAAGGGGGATTTTCCAGTTTTCGGACAATAACTCAAGAATGCTTTCACCAACTTGCAAGAAATTGTGGTGAATTGTTTATATCTATTGACATGAGCTCCCTTTCGATTTTTATATATTTTAGATTTTACGTTTCCGAGTTATGGGGTTTTATTCATAAAAACGGGGATTTTCCAGTTTTCGAACAAAAAATCAAAAATGCTTTCAGCAGTTCTTATGAAACTTTGGTGAATTGTTTATATCTATTGATGTAAGCTCCCTTTACATTTTCATAAATTTCTAATATGACATTGAGAATTAATTGAACTTTATTTGTATATAGTCTGACAACAGATTTACTAAGTATTGTGCAACAGCACAGTGTATTGCACAACAGCAAGAAATCTTTAATTGAATATAAATTCAATTCATATAACCAATTTCAAGTTCTTTGACTACATTTATTCAGAAACCTATAATATGTTAAACATTTAATTACAATCCAAATTCAGACCTGTATCAAGCTTTGCCTTATATGATAAAAATTATAATAGATAAATAGAAACATTATATCACAAAAATGATCAGCAAGGTAAGATCTACTATAACAAGTCAAACGTCGCCGATATAGTTAGTAGACTCGCTCTTTACAGGAGTGATAGCCCTTAAATGAGGATTTTTTTTTTACCCTCTTTTGTGTTTTGAGCAAAAACTAAAGAATATAAAAGGAAAAAAAACAGACTAAATGATCAGTAATACAAGGTCAACAAAACAGTGATTTTTGTCATGAATTCTATCCTCGTCTACAATGTTAAATATGCACAGCATGAGACCAAGGTGAGCGACACAGGCTCTTTAGAGCCTCTAGTTCAATGTTAATATAAAACAAAAATTATGATTGCCAATGAGACAACTATCCACCAGAATTCATATAAATGAATAGAAGCATTTATAGGTCACCCTACAGCCTTCAACAATGAGAAAACCCCATACTGTATGGTCTACTATAAATGGCACAGATATGAAAAAAATGTGAAAGAAGTTCTTTGAATTCTTTTTTTTCAAGTTAAATTTAACTGTATTTGGTATATAAAAAAAGTTGTAAATGACTGAAAGCCTGTCTTACATGGTTGATCTGACCGTGACCTCATTTTTATAATGTCATTGTCCATCAATAAAAATAAATTTGTTGTGATAAGGACACTTTATGACTTTGATCTGATTTATATAGTTCATTGATCAACATTAGGTAACTGCCTTGGTGGTCTCGTAGACTAGATCCTTGCTGGCCTCTAGTAGATCACTGGCTAGGTCAAACCCATGGCTTGAAAATGAACATTTAATTTGCCGCTTCTCTGCTAAGCATGCAGCATTTGGTAGTAGAAGCAAAGACTGGTGGATTTGAGAGTTAAAATAATGTCGTTGTTGGGTGACATGTCATCCTGCCGACTCGTGAACTAGCACGTTAAAAAATCTGATGAGTTTGTCAGTCTAGCACACAGCAGGGTTCATATTTAGATCGCATCAAGATGTGGTATGAGTGCCAATGAGAAAACTCTCCATCCAAGTCAAAATTTATAAAAGTAAACCATTATAGGTCAAAGTACGGTCTTTAATACCGAGCATTGGCTCACACCGAACAGCAAGCTATAAAGGGCCCCAAAAATTGTTCAAGCAATATAGTTGCCACTGGACGTTACACACCAATCTATCGCCATTGTCAAGTTTTCGTGAGAAGGTCAGTTTCTTTGATTCTATAAGATAAGTTCAAGTTCAACTACAGACGGAAGGATTGTCTTAGTAGTACATGTTGGTGTGGTAATAATTAATTGACCTTGACCTCATTTTCATGGTTCCATTAATCAACGTAATAATTCCGTTATGAGATTAATTAGTTTCTTGGTTACTGTATGTAATCAGTCAATGGTTGTAAGGGGTACATGTCCACTGTATGTAATCAGTCGATGGTTGTAAGGGGTACATTTCCACTGTTATGTAATCAGTCAATGGTTGTAAGGGGTACATGCATGTCCACTGTATGTAATCAGTCAATGGTTGTAAGGGGTACATGTCCACTGTATGTAATCGGTCAATGGTTGTTAGGGGTACATGTCCACTGTATGTAATCAGTCAATGGTTGTAAGGGGTACATGTCCACTGTATGTAATCGGTCAATGGTTGTTAGGGGTACATGTCCACTGTATGTAATCAGTCAATGGTTGTTAGGGGTACATGTCCACTGTATGTAATCAGTCAATGGTTGTAAGGGGTACATGTCCACTGTATGTAATCAGTCGATGGTTGTAAGGGGTACATGTCAACTGTATGTAATCAGTCGATGGTTGTAAGGTGTACATGTCCACTGTATGTAATCAGTCGATGGTTGTAAGGGGCATATGTTCACTGAATGTAATCAGTCGATGGTTGTAAGGTGTACATGTCCACTGTATGTAATCAGTCAATGGTTGTAAGGGGTACATGTCCACTGTATATATGTAATCAGTCAATGGTTGTAAGGGGTACATGTCCATCTGACATTGTTCATTTTACCATAACCTCGTGTTTAGCTCATCTGACCCAAATCAGGGGCGGGTTTATAATTATCAGAAGGAGGAGTTCTTGTCCTTGAATGACGATTTTTTTTGGCTAATTTTCCTGTGTTTATAAAAATAAGGAGATGAGGTATGATTACCAATGAGACAACTATCCACCAAAGTTCTAATAAAGTGGATGTAAGCAATTATAGGCAACCATACGGCATTCACCCTTCACCAATGAGAAAAAAACCCATATTGTATAGTGTGCTATATAAAGTCCCGACATGAAAAATATGAAACAATTTAATTGAGAAAACTATTAAACGGCATAATTTATAACAAAACAATTAACGGAAAACAAATATGACCGACATGAACCAACGACAACCACCGAACTACAGGCTCCCGACTTGGACAGGCACATAAAGAATGTGGCAGGGTTAAATATGTAAATGAGCGCTCTACCTTTACCTATTAACTCAAAAACTCTATTAGATACTGCTAAGGCAAACATTACCCTAACTCTAGCAGCAATACAAGGTCTACAAAAATGCCAATTTGACCTTGACCATCGGATGACCCTTGATGAGGAATTAAACGAGTAAATATCAAGTTTTGACTAATTTTAGTGTTTTGCATATTATCCTGTTGCCTGTCTGGTATTTTCACCCTTTCTAAGGGTCCACTCCCTTATAGGATCGAATAAAACTGAGTATATTTACATAGCTTATAACTATCTGTGCATTAACACCATTAGTAAACCCAACCACGAATCTCCATTGCATCGTTATTGTCTATGTTTCACTTCTTGTGTAATAGTAACGACGACCGTTTAGTGTGTAAACCATAACAAAAAGTTCTTGTAAGGCATTCTAAGTCTCTCATGTTGTCACACTTCAATTTAACTGTATGATATTTTTTTCTAGGATGAATCAAGTATAAATTTTAGGAATAAGTCCTCTTTTTCAAGTCTATCAATTATACTCTCTGTAATTGTTTCTTAAGTACTGTTCTATTTTGAGC